TACCAACACACCAGTACAACACACCAGTACCAACACACCAATTCAACACACCAGTACAACACACCAGTACCAACACACCAGTTCAACACACCAGTACAACACACCAGTACAACACACCAGTACCAACACGCCAATTCAACACACCAGTACAACACACCAGTACCAACACGCCAGTTCAACACACCAGTACAACACACCAGTACCAACACACCAGTACAACACACCAGTACCAACACGCCAGTTCAACACACCAGTACCAACACACCAGTACCAACACACCAGTACCAACACATCAGTACCAACACACCAGTACAACACACCAGTACCACCAGTACCAACACACCAGTACAATACACCAGTACCAACACACCAGTACAACACACCAGTACCAACACACCAGTACCAACACACCAGTACCAACACACCAGTACAACACACCAGTACCAACACACCAGTACCAACACACCAGTACCAACACACCAGTACAACACACCAGTACCAACACACCAGTACCAACACACCAGTACCAACACACCAGTACAACACACCAGTACCAACACACCAGTACCAACACACCAGTACCAACACACCAGTACAACACACCAGTACCAACACACCAGTACCAACACACCAGTACCAACACACCAGTACAACACACCAGTACCAACACACCAGTCAGTGAATTCAACACAAAAACAAGACCCAGTTATTTTTATTGGTTTATAAACTACTGTTTAAAGCCAAACCTTTAGCCTTTAAAAATGGTGAAAAATAATGAAACATACATTATGATCAATGCTAAACTAATCAAACTACTGTCAAATATGAACAAATACATCCTTAATTTGACTGATTATTTTTAAATTTCTGTTTATACAAGGAAGCGCAGGTTTTTACTGGGCTTAGGTTGAAAAAGTGGCAGCAGGGTGGTGCAGTGGTTAGTGCTGTTGCCTCACAGTAGTAAGTTCACAGTCAACAGGTTTGTCCCCCAGTCTGGAGCCTTTTTTGTCAAGTTTATGTTCTGCCTGTGTAGAAGTGGGTTTTCTCCTGGGACTCTGGTTTCCTGTCACAAAACAAAAACATGCCTGTTAGGTTGATGGTGACTCCTGATGTCTCCACATGCTCCATCTGAAGCCGAACAATCGACACACAGTCACGTTGTTGTTGTTCAGCGTTTGTTTTCACTCTGTAATCTTGTAACAAGAGCTGACTTCAGCAGGTTAGATGGAGCATGAAGAGGTCCCCAGGTGTGAGACTGGGATCAGTTGTGTCCCTGTGGAGGACTGCAGAACTGTCTGAGTGACTGAGTGACTGAGTGACTGAGTGAGTGACTGAGTGAGTGACTGAGTGAGTGAGTGAGTGAGATGTGGACTGCAGAACTGTCTGAGTGAC